CCGGGATGTCGTAGATGCCCCCCCCCCCGCCGTCTCCACGGAGACGCTTGTCGGCCAGGAGGGGGGGCGGGACGTCGTACACGTCCTCCGGGATCGGGGGCTCGTCGTCCTCGTCCCCGTCGGCGGCCATGTTGTTGTGCAGGTATTGGCCGGGGGGGGGAGGACGCATGTTCAAGAATAGCTAGTAGAAAAATCGAGGTTTTCTCTTAGAGGCTCCATTAAGCTACAGTGGGGGAAATAAGTATTTGAGCCCTTGCTGATTTTGCAGGTTTGCCCACTTACAAAGAATGCAACGATCTATAACTTTAATCATATGTACATTCTAACAGTGAAAGACAGAATCCCAAAGAAAATTCCAGAAAATCACATCATATGAATTTATAAAAATTGATAAACATCTGAAGAGGAAAAATAAGCATTCTTTGAAAGTGGGCAAACCTGAAAAATCAGCAAGGGGTCAAATACTGATTTGCCCCACTGTATTTCAGGCTACATGGGACCCTTTTCTTAGATATTTTGACTCTTTGAATCTTCTTGACCCAGAGGATACTTGAATGTCTAACATGATCTCTACTTATCTATTTACATTTGAATTCATGTCTACCCTTTTTTTTATCTGTTTTTCTATTTATACTTTTTATTTATTTATACATTTTTTTAATTACCATTTTTATTTTTTATTTTTTTATTTTATTATTATTTTTATTTATTCATTTGTTCATTTATTTTTTGGCCTGTGGGTGGGGGTGGGTGGTCATGGTGGATTGGGGGTTTATAGCAATGTGAAATTGAGACTGTTTACATCAACAATTTTTGTTTTTTGTTTAAAAAGTTTAAAAAAAAAAATAAAAAAAAAAAAAAAAAAGTGTATCGAGGCTAGCATTCATTTAAATCCGTCTGCTTTACACTCATTTTGAATGAATGAATCTTTATTGTCATTGTCACAAGAACAACGAAATTTAAAAGTGCCATCAATCAGTGGATAAAAAACAGTGCTTAAAAAAATGCAATACAAATAAAATAAAAATAAAATAAAATAAAAATAAAATAAAATAAAAATAAAATAAAAATAAAATAAAAATTAAAATAAAAATTAAAATAAAATAAAAAAACACTGTCCCACAATTTACACACAATATAAGTAATAAACAACAACAATAACTGATAAAAAACAAAAAACAAAAGAACAAACAACAACTAATAAATAATAATAGCACATTCTCACACACATCATCCATGATCATTAATCATCATGGATGATGTGTGTGAGAATGTGCTATTCTTATTTTTTAGCATTTTAGTATAATAATTTATAAATTATTCAAATTATTCAAGAAACTTTTTTGGGAAGATTACAATTTCAGTCGATCTTTCTTTTCATTCTATGTGAGGTTAGCTGTCTAGTATTATCTTACTGTCTTATTATTGTCTATTATTATTAAATAAGTCATTTTCCATATTGATAACTGACATATATATATATAATATGTTGATCTTACCACGTACTACCCATGGATAGTGTGTAATAGTTTTATGGAATATAGACATAATAGATAGATCTTGAAGTTAATTGAATATCGAATTTAATAAGATAGAATTTATTCACTAGATCTTTAATTTAAACTTTTAGGCTGTTGAGCAAAGACTTACAGTTTGCTGTGGGTTCTTGTCTGAACCTGATGGGGTGTCGTATATGTCTTGACCACTAGAGGGACCCTTCACCACCATGGGAGGAGTGTCATACACCTTTAATACAGAGCAAAAGACAAAAAAAATCAGGATTTTAGTTAGACCAGAGCTGCCACACCCACAGGACATGGACCACGTGGGCCCAGAACTATCAAACAGAAAAAAACTACAACATTTGCTGTTAATTCCAGAATAAAAAGGCTTTGGCTTTTTAGAATATTACAGGACTGTCTCAGAAAATTAGAATATTGTGATAAAGTTCTTTATTTTCTGTAATGCAATTAAAAAACATGAAATGTCATACATTCTGGATTCATTACAAATCAACTGAAATATCGCAAGCCTTTTATTGTTTTAATATCGCTGATTATGGCTTACAGCTTAAGAAACCCAAATGTCCTATCTCAAAATATTAGAATATCGGATTTTTGAGTTTTCTTCAGCTGTACGCCATAATCAGCCTTATTAAAACAATAAAAGGCTTGCGATATTTCAGTTGATTTGTAATG